CCCCCCCCCCCCGCCCCCCCGCGCCCCCCGCGGGGGGGCCGCCCCCCCGCCGGTACCCGCTGCACGCGCTGAGCGTGCCCGACGTCCCCAGCTCAGCACACGGCAAGACCCCCGCCCGCAGCATCCCCGCTCCCGCTGCCGCTGCCATCCCCGCTCCGGAGGGGCTGCAGAGCCGGCGCCGCAAGCTGCTGGAGGAGGACGGCCCAGTGGTCCAGGCCGGCAAGCGGCAGCGGCAGCGCTATGTCACCAAGGTGGGCAAGTGCCAGGTGAACCTGGGCAACATCCAGGAGAAGAAGCGGTTCCTCTCGGACATCTTCACCACCATCGTGGACCTCAAGTACCGCTGGTTCCTCTTCGTCTTCATGATGTGCTACATCGTCACCTGGGTGGTCTTCGGCACCGTCTACTTCTTCGACGCCTGGGTGCGGGGCGACGTCAGGCACCGGGGCGACCCCGAGTGGCGGGCGTGCATTGAGAACGTGGACGGCTTCGTCTCCGCCTTGCTTTTCTCGGTGGAGAGCCAGCGGACCATCGGCTACGGCTCCCGGATGGTGACGGCCAACTGCGCCGAGGGCGTCATCCTGCTGATGGCGCAGTCCATCGTCGGCTCCATGATCGACGCCCTGATGGTGGGCTGCATGTTCGTCAAGATCTCCCGGCCCAAGAAGCGCGCCCAGACCCTCATCTTCAGCAAGAACTGCGTCGTCTCCCGCCGGGACGAGAAGCTCTGCCTGATGTTTCGCGTGGGGGACCTGCGGGACAGCCACATGGTGGACGCCAAGATCCGGGCCAAGCTGATCAAGTCCCGGCAGACGGCCGAGGGAGAGTTCATCCCCCTGGAGCAGTCGGAGCTGAACCTGGGCTACGACACGGGGGAGGACCGCCTGTTCCTGGTGGAGCCCCAGATCATCTGCCACGTCATCAACCGCCGCAGCCCCTTCTGGGACATGTCAGCCGAGTCGCTGCGCCGGGAGCAGTTCGAAATCATCATCATCCTCGAGGGCATCGTGGAAGCCACAGGCGAGTGGTCCGCAGGGGTCGAGGCGGGGACGGGCAGCCCCCCCTGGGGTCCCAGAGATGCCGGGGGAGCCTGGGCTCGGGGCCGGCATCCTGGCAAGAGATGCCCGGGGCCGACACCGGCTCCACCCCGGCAACGGGTGACTTGGGGCTGGAGGCCCCTCGTTAGGCAGCAGGGGGGGGGGTTCATTGCGGCAGCAGCGGTGGCAGCTCAGCCGTTGTCTCGCCGCAGGAATGACGTGCCAAGCCCGCACCTCGTACACGGAGGACGAGATCCTCTGGGGGTACCGCTTCGAGCCCTGCATGTCCCTGGAGAAAGGCGCCTTCCGGGTGGACTACAGCCGCTTCGAGATGACCTTCGAGGTGCAGACCCCGGCGGCCAGCGCCAAGGAGCTGCACGAGCTGAAGGAGCTGGAGCGGCAGGAGCACTCCACGCTCAGCCTCTACTGGGACCACCTCCTGCAGCCCTGCGCCCTGCCGGGGACCAGGCCCGGCGAGGATGCTCTCACCGGGCTGAGCGTCCCCGGCAGCCGGGACGAGCCGCCGGAGCAGGAGGCCGCTGCCTGAGCCGCCCCTGGGGGCTGTGGGACTGGGTGCCGCGGTGGGTGCCCGGCGGGGGGGGTCCTGCGCCGACGGTGCCATAGCCCACCCTCCCTCTGCGGGGCTGAGCCCTCCCAGCCCGGCCCTCAGCTGCAGCCGCGTGGCGTCGGTTTTGCGACGTTGTTCCTTGGTGACGAGGAACGCAAGATCGAAACAACGGGTGATTAAAGTCTCTTAAGTAAAAGAACCAGACAAATGCATCAGCAGTGTTGGCGGTGTTCGGTGATGCTCGATGGCACGGGGGGGGCCCGGGCGGGCAGGGGTTGGCGGACTCGGCGGGAGCCCGGGCTGGCGGGGGAGCGCTCCTGCCGCCCGCTCCTTTGCCCCAAACCAGCACGGATTCGTTCGTGTTCGTGTTCGTGTTCGTCCACCCCCGGGGGGGGGGGGGGGGGGACAGGGGGGGGGGGGGGGGGC